TTATACGCCCCACACCAAGTCACCACCATCCGATGGCGCAGGATCAATAATCAACCTTCAATCTCAACTGGGAAATCAAGTTTAGGCTAAACCCTCCAATGGAAATATGAACTCCTTTGTCCCAAATATCAAACCCTAAGGTGAATACCTTTAGTAACCTAGTTTGAGAGAAATACTTCTTTTGTTCTACCACAACCATATAATCTAAAAAAAAAAACCTTAATGAGAGATGAGAGATCATGAGAGACACCATGAGAGAGATGACAACTCTCAATAGCCTAAACCCTATAGGTTCTTTCATAATGTGGTAGAGAGAGAGATCTCAAAGATAAGAGAGTGGGGTGTGCCCCCTTTGGGCTTTCTTGAGAGAGAAAAAAAAATTTCTTAGGGAGAGAGAGGAATAGAAAGATAAAGTATAGATATTTTGGGTAGAAACAATCACTTTTTTATAGGATTTGAAAAAGATTAGAGGTTTTTCATTGGTTTGCCTCTTCTTATGAAATTGAATATGAATCATTGATTTTGGATGACTTGTGGGGTGAGAGATTTGAACCCTTCATTCCATAGATGGGTCATCGACATTATGGAAGATGCTAGAACCTTTATTCCACATTCCTAAACTATTTTTTCCATCAATAGAAATTAAATAAAATAATTACATTCATAATATAGTGTTTACCAAAATTATACACAAGCCTTCTAATGCTTTCCAAAAATCTTCCTCAAGGAAAAATCTTTAGAAAACACTTCAAAGTTTTTTCTTCAAGCCAAAGCTTGAACTAACACAAGGAAAGTTTCATTAGGGTGGGGTGTGCCACCTAGGTGGTACTTCATGAGCCCACCATTGCACCACATGTAATAGTGGGTCCATTAATATATTGGACCTCCCATGCAATATTAAATTATTAAAAATAATTATATGATTTTTAGAAATCCATAAAATCAAATTTGAATATTTAAATCAATTTAAAATTAATATCTCTATTTTTATAAATCCAAATTTAATAAATAAAATATTCAAAAATCTAGATAAATTCAACTCATAATTCTAAAAACATATATCATTAAAAACAAATATAATTAAATTCATTAGATGGGAAAATGATCTATATGGTCTAGGAATTAAATAAATAAATGTTGGGGCACTCCACTTTCCACTGTGGACTACGGTCCACACTTGTTTTATCAAACCGACCCAGTGTTTCTCATGACCCACGGTCCATGCAGGGGCTTATTAGTGGGTCACCAAAGTTTGGCCAATGAGCCAAGGGGTCGTAATTCCAGTTTATGGATTTTAGGTTCTTTCCTAGAGACGTACCAAAGTCACTTAGACCTGATGCGACCATAGCTCCTATAGCGCATAGGGGTATCTCTTGCACATGCATAAGCCTCACCCTAAAAGTTGGTTCACTCTCTCAAAATGACTATCATTATGCATGTCGTGTGATGGCTCACGGATGAGCTTTTGGCCCCGTCTCTGAAAGCTACCATCATACACAAGGATCACACAGTCTCTCGACTCACTCATCTGAGCATACTCTGACCTCGTCAAGGGATGACTATTAAAACCTTTATCAGATATTTTTCTATGTCCAAGTAACATAGGTTTTTTCAAACCAACTGGCCTAGCTCATCAAGCTCAGCCCAGTATTAGCAAACATCGTTTGTTTAATATGGTCCACGAGGGACCACACTCCCACTGAGTTCATATTTCACTATATTATTTCATTTACGAGCACTCATAAGGCCTTTAATAGCCCCACTCACCCAACAAATTTAAGAACTCAAAGTTCTAGAAAGGCAACAATTTCACTGCTGATTTGGAAATACAATTTTTGAGAATGACACTTATCTTCTCTTTAGTTGCAGTATCACAACAAAAGAATCTAGGTTTACACGATTTCCAGCACTGAAAATTCCTAGAATTGTGTTGATGATTATTCCTCATAAAAAACCTAACCAAGAAAAAAAACTCAAAAATAAGAACAATGAATATATTTTGGAAAGACAAATGATGCAGGGATGTTTTAAGAGTTTGCACTGATGTAACAGATCAATTTGCCACCTTATTCTGTGCTAAAAGACTTTTAGAACTATGGTTATGTCATCAGCAAGCATTACAATAGAGGAACAAAGTCATACCATTTCTTAAGTCAATTGCACATATAACAGAAAACCCCTAAAGAGCATTCAGTAATCCATCTTTTAGGGGCTTTTTTTAAAAAAATATTATTTTGTCTCCTAATAATTCTATCAATCATTTGTACTTTTTCGGATTTTTTAATATTTTTTAAAGATTATTTTACCCGTTGTTAAACTTTTTTTTACAGTTGTTTACAATGTACCTATTTTGGATAAGTCCACTCAGAATCGGTCCAGTTACAAGTACCTTGGCCGAGTTGATTTTTCATGCGCAGACTTTTCCAAAAATTAGATATAATCAGAAATTGTAGGGGCCAAAATGCAAAGTCTTCTTTCGTCGTTTGCACCAGTATAAGTCCACCAAAATCATCAAGTCAATAATGGCTGCAGTTAGGTGCCCACCATTCATCCGAAATATCCCCTACACGAACCAAAAGCTCATATTATGAATAACAGTTTCAAATCAAGAACAAATCACATTCCCTTCAAAAATGGCCAAACTTCTTCTCTCCACTCTCCTCATCCAGACTCTCCTGCAACGCTCTCTTGGATCCGATCATTTAGGAGAATTTTGCAATTCCAACAAGAAAATCTCAGACAAACCCACAATGGCCAACATTGGCTTAGTCCTATCCGAACTCGAAACTGAACCCCATCTAATGGCTTTGCTACAGCCTCAAAAGGCCAAGAAAAAGAGACAGTGTATGGGTTCCTATAGTGCAGAGGTGACGTCCCAAAGATTGTTCATTTTGCATGAGTGACTCGGCAAAACAGATCTGCCAGCTCTGCCCCAACGAAGCTGACACAAGAATATGGTTTGACAATTGTTTCCTTCGTTATGACACTGATGATTTTATCGGAGAACTGGATACCGGGTATGGTATCTTCTATTGGAATGTAGAGAATGTAACTGAACCTGAGAGGTTTGCGAAGGAACTCGGAGATTTGATGGACCAGGTCAGGGCAGAGGCAGTGGAGCCTGGTAACGAGGGCTTTGGGAGTGGAAAGACCAAGTTCTCACCATTTGTGACCATCTATGGGTTGGTACAGTGCACCAAAGACTTGCCTGAGCTCCGTTGTGCACAGTGTTTGTCCATTGCTATTTCGAACGGCAGCGGCAGCTACTGCGATGGCAAGAAGGGGTGTTGGGTGCTCTATAGCAGTTGTTGTGTGCGGTTTGAGATATACCCCTTCTTCCTGCCGCCTAGTTCCTATACAGGAAATGAGATCCATGCTTCCCATGCTATGTACCATAAAAATTAGGTAATTGACATTGTCTTTGAGACCCATGAGTCACCCTTATTAAAAGATGCATTTCTACAAGGACTTAATGCCGTTTCTCTGTTAGCAGGACTTTATAGTTGCTAGTATCTTTCAACCTAGATGATGATCCCTTTATAGAATCTAGCTTCAAGACTCCAAAAAGGGATTTTCGAGGTATTTCGATTTTTTAAATTTGGGATCTCAGTTGGATCCTGATCTCCACCTTAAAGACCAAGCTAACCACTAAACGAATAATTTTCTTTATGTGTAGGCCAGCTTGAAATGCAATTATACTTTTAATATAGTTGCAATTGTATTGCTTGTTAGCAACAATTAAAGAGGTTCCTTATATATAGTCATAGGCTATATGTATCATTTACAGTTGGGAGCAAGATCACCAAAAGCTTGCTTGGGATCCCCAAAAAGTTGGGATCGAGATCTCTAACATTTCAAGATCTTGATACCTAATATATGCATTTACGGACACCACTGCCAACTATAGAGATCTTCTAGCTTTTCATGGTCCCCCAATTCCAATAATATGAATGAGCTTGTAACCGACATGTTAGTCCAATACATTTAGGATGAGGTTTGCATAAGGCAAACCTCTAAAATTTGCTTTGAGATGTACTTTCAATGTTGGAAAAGTTATTTGAAAATCTTTAAAATAGACATTCAGATAATTTGTTAAGAGATTCACTATTTTAGGACTTGAAATCTTTTTTTCTTTTTTTCTTCATATCCTCAAATCAGTCTATGCATAGAAATATAGCAAAATACATCTAGCTTTGAGAACTCTTCTTGCTCCAAGTGGGTCAATGAGTGGAAATATAGCGAAATACATCTAACCTTGAGAAAGATTCGTGGTTCCATAATTTATGGGGGTATATAGGCAATGTGAGTAGTATTCGTTCAAATCTGTAGAACTTGAGGGGGTCAACAGCGCAACTACTGTAAAACTTTGGGAAGTTAAATAACCTAAGAACCGTAAAACTCGGATGAGTTAATAGCCCGAGTTCTATAGTACTCAGTTAAGTATGAATAGCACTTGCTAAAGTACTTTGAATATAGTAAAAAGGGGGGCACTGCCCCACTTATTTTCTCTCTCTTTCGCACACATAAAACACACACGAAGGGGATGGCTCTCTATATCTTACTATGGGGGTTAGATTTTCTCCCTCTTTTTAATTTCCCTATCTCATCTCTCTCTCTCTCAATGGGAAGTAAAAGTCTGCCCCCTTTTTCCTCTTTATCTAAAAAGGCAGAAATCAAGCCATTTTTTCACCTTTCTCTAAAATGGGGTGGAGAATCATCCTTGTTTCCATTTCTCTCTCCTCCAAAGCAGAGAGATCGAGAGAGAGTATATATGCATGTGTTGAGAAAGAGAGATGTAGCCAAAAGCCCTCTCTCTCCCCCTCTGCCGCATGCCCAAAGCCCTCTTCCACTCTTGGTTAAAACCCTCCTTTCTTTTTTTGCCTTTTTTTTTTCAAGAGTGGGCTACTCGGGGATGGCGCAAGCACATTGCCCGAGCCGAGTTTCTATAAAAACTATTTGAAATGGTTAATTGGATGATATATGAGAGTACAATCAAAATCATGAATAGGAAACAAATAGCGGAGAAGTTTGATGTTCAAACTTGATTAAAAGAATGAAAAAGTTTATATAGTGTTGAGGCTCTAAACAATCAAATTAGAGCTCCATCGCAAATTTTACTAGAAGAAGTTGTTATGATGTCCAAATATCCTCAAAATGATCATCTCGGCATCAAGATGTATGGACATGATAAAAAAATGGATTTCAAGTTTTGCAAATAGTGCATCTTGTAACACATTTTTTGACCATCAAGTTCAAGTTTTCAAAGATCTGGTCGATCTATACTATTTTTGAAGCTTTAAATTTTATAATTAAAGATGAAAATATATTTTAAAGCTATCACAAAGATTTTCAGTATTGAACCACATTTCTCAACACTATTTGAAGGCACGCATAATGTGATTGTTTAGAGCCTCGGCATTATACAAACCACACCCTTTAAAGAAGGGCAAAGTGACCATGGTAGAGACATAAAGAGGGGTACGGCAAAGGTTCATCTTCACTGTGGATATAATCTAGATTTAAAGACTAAAGAGCTCCGGATTTATGCAGCCTGAGCCTTTGAATAGGACATCATGAGTGCACATGTACAAAACTGCACAAAGGACTGATGTTCATCCATTTCTAAAGCTTTTCTATGTCTTAACTCATAGAAAATGAAATATTTGAATACAGAACTCAAATATCTCGAACGGTAGCAATTCCACTGCTACTTTGCAATACACTTTTAGAGAATGACAGTCATCCCTTTAGTTGCAGTATCACAGCAAAAGAATCTAGGTTTACAAGATTTCCAGCACTGAATTGCTAGAATCGTGTTGATGATTGTTCCTCAAAACAATCTAACCAGGAAAAAACAAAAAAATAATGGCAACAATAATATATTTTGGAAAGACAAATGATGCAGGGATGTTTTAAGAGTTTGCAGTGATGAACAGATCAATTTCACCCCTTTCAGTGCTGAAAGACAGCTAGATACTGGATTTTTCTTATAAACATAAGTTAATAATGATACGTAGTTCCAGGAAATAACCATTCTCGGAACCATGGAGATGTCATCAACAAGCATTACAATAAAGGATCAAAGTCATATACCATTGCTTACGTCAATTGCACATATAACAGAAAACCCCTAAGAGCATTTTTGTGAACATAGACACAGAAATCTAGACACCCACACACACCAGCAGACATACAGAGAACACACACAAAGGGGATAGAAAGAATGATAGCAAGGGTTAGAGACATTTTGCTTTTTTTACTGTTGTCTATACAAGTAGTCATCTCTATGCAATATCTGCTTGACCGTCTCCACACTAAATAGGCATGTATGCATAAAAGGATTACACACGACATGGGTTTACATAACAATATCTCCTTTAGATGCAGTTGATTGTATCAAGTATATAAGATATTAAGCATATAAGAGTTATCAGTGGTAGCACCCTCTGTCAGTGTCACTGAGACACCACAGATCCCATTGTGTCATGTGTCAACACCTAAGAGAAATCCCTAGTACTTGGACCACAGGTATCGGGTGATTTGTGGCATCTTCAGTAAGTGTTGACACTTCTAACGAAATTATCGTCTTTGAAGACGCACCATATCCTTTTCTCATATTCAAAAAAAAACTGCCAGTGCCAGTTTGCATCCCCCTTGAATTTGAACCAAAAACTGCAGTAATACATTGACATGCGGTCTACCATATGGGCCATGAGTCACTGATGGTAATTTTTATATAAGTAAAGCTAATAGAGCATGCAACCATATATTAAAAGCCTGGCATATAGTAAACCCCATCCCCCAATTTCAAACTCAAAACCTCATAAATAGATGTTCTAAAGTCAAACACCATGTTCAACCACCATGGAAGTCACATTAATATGAACAAAACCTGCATATCTTTCATTTATACAGTATTGAAATGTGTTGTTTAATGTATAACATAATACAAAAATTAACTCATGACACAAAACTTAATATATAACATGGGTTGTTCACAGATGACATAATTTTGATCGATGAGACCCAAACGGCGTCAATACAAAGTAAGAACTTTGGAGGGATGCCCTAGAATCTGAAGGTTTTAAAATTAGCTAGACTAAGACAGAGTAAATAGAATGCAAGTTTAGTAATAAACGGAGTAGAGACAATGAAGTAGTTACGATTGACGGCCAAGAAATACCAAAAAGAGCGCACTTTCGATATCTTAGGACTTTGATCGATAATCCATGAAAATAGAGAGATTAAGGAAGATGTTGCACATAGAATTAGAGCTGGATGGGCAAAGTGAAGATGTGCAACCGGAGCTATATGTCATCACCGCATATACCAATGAATCTGAAGGACCAGTTCTATAAGACAATTGTGAGACCAGTTTCGCTTTATTTCAGATGGAATGTTAGGCGGTCAAGAAACAACACCCATAGAATGAGTGTAGCTGAGATAAGGATGTTGATATGAATGAGTGGCAAGACAAGAAAGAATAAAATTCGAAACGAATATATTCAAAAGAATTTAGGTTTGCCACCAATAGGTGATAAGATAAGAGAAAGTAGACTTAGGTGGGCTGGCCATATGTGATACAGATCTAATACAACACCTGTTAGGACGTGTGAGTTAGTTCAATTGGAACACTAAAAAAGGGTAAGGGGTAGGCTCGAAAGGCCATGGTTGGAAGTAGTGAGAAAAAATATGAGAACTTATGACCTCATTGAGGGTATGGCCCTTAACAGAGTAGAATGGTGAACCAGGATTTGCATAGCCGACCCCAATTAGTTGGGAAAAAGCTTTGACAATGATGATGAACTCATGATACAAAACTTAACTCATGGAATATGAACTCAGTACTTTTCTATAGTAAAGAGTAAGCACTACTACTACAAACAACAGAATGTATCGTAGCAATTATCTAAATTATATTTTATAACCTATTATTTGGATAACATACTATACATACAGCCATGTCTTGCTGTATCTGATTTTTTAAAATGAAAATGAAGCATTGTCCTTACAAAAGAAGGAACACTCAACATTGTGCTCATGGTGTTGGTCATAGCCATTGTTTAAGACCCTGCTCCTTCTTTAGCAAGTGCGTCGGCCATGGCATTCAAATTTTCTCTAAATGTGTGGGCTCAAGTCTCCAAGGACATTGGGCCAATTTGAAGGCCCAACTTAAATATGTTCTTAAGAATCACCTTCCATAAGAAGATTTTGGTCCCAGCTGATGCCAAGTAAGTTTCAGCCCTTGCAACAAGACCAAGGCCCTAGCCATCATTGCGCATGCACTCCCAATGGCACTTGGAAACGACTGCAGTAGCTGAGATGAGCTGTGCCGAAACAGGCCCCTAACGCCTATTGGGCCAGGGATGCCAAGAGAATAAGCCAAGTTCAATAGATTCACTCAGTGGGGGCCAGAGGTTACTTCTCGAGGTAATCATCGACTTGGAATTAATAATGGCTTTCCAGGAGAGGAGCAAAACCCCCAACTGATTAGGCCGTAGATTCTTTCACACATCAAGCCCAGAAAAAGACTGAGGCTTTTATAATGCTCGAGCTTGGTAAATATTGGTAGCAGGTAGCACTTGTATGGCAGGTTCCACCTGAGTGTGGGGAATCAGGCCACCTATCAGCCAATGACGTCGAAAGAATCTGCTACTGAAGCGTCTTTATAACTAGCAACATATATAGCATTGGATAAAATAAAGCCAAAGTGAAATACCAATCCAAATTTCCACAACCTAGCTTATTGTCCTGTTTTGATCCCAAACCAAATGTTGACATTGATGTTAGGGTAGATTGGACTATAACCTTCCAGGCAATAGATGCAATAGCATTGCTCCCCAGGAAATCCATCCTGAGCTGTTTATTCCATACTTGTGTCGAATGACTTCCTGCCCCAAGTGGTCCTCTTCGCTCATGAGGCACAAAACCGGAGTAACACTAAGTTACACTCCCTGATTATCCTTACCCAGACCACATCCCTTTGAACAAAAAATAGTGTCCCACTGGACTAAGGGGCTGTTTCACTTTGTAGGGAGAATGACAACTTCCACCATTTGGATCCAAAATTTGGGGCAAATTTTTCTGCCAGAAATCTTCTTCTCTGTTTTGAGCCCAAAATAGAGACATAGTTTTTCTATCCACAAGCTAAAAAGTTATTTTCCTAGTCAAATTTCCTTACAGAGTCCCAAAAAAAAGTAAACTAAAATAAAACAAGCGTAGAGATAGTTGGGACCTGGACAAAAAAGGGCAATCTCCTCCCATCTCTCTCCCTCACCCTCTCTCTCTTTCTCCTTGCTAATAATACAACTCTCCCAATCCATCTCTCTCTAAAATCCTTGTACTTTTGTTTCTCTTCTCTCTCTGTATCCCCCCATTCAGAGAAATTTTTTTCTACTTCTATCTTGCTCTAGCCATAACCTTCTCTCTCTATCTCTACCATGTTTTCCTCTCTAGAGATTCATTGCATTTAACCCCTTTTCATGGTAGAAATCTATCTTCCAGGGTGCATCAAGATGTTTTAACCCATTTGTCAGGAAATATTTTTTGCAAGAAATGTATTTCACAGGAAATAGTCTTTTCCAAACAAATTTTCCCTGGGATCCAAACAGGGCCCTATGTAGTCCCAAAAGCAAGGTCTAGCAAACACAGGAAGGACAGTACTTGTTTAAGAGGGAGTCCATGGATCATCCCAATATTTTTGCTAGCACAAAGGCCACATCAGGTAAGACAAGACCCCAAACATTTTCGTTTTGGCCATATTCACATTGAAGGCAGTTGAGAATTCAAGGCACCTTAGGAATAGCCAAAGGTTTCCACTTGTTGCAGGGTCACATTGCAAAAGACTAGGATGTCATTTGTGTACTGCAAGTGAAAAATGACCAGGCCGCACCTAGAGGATTTAATTCCTCCAGCAGATCATGATCGAAGAGCCATGAAATGGAGCCAATGAACAACTCATAAATGTGGTAAACAGGGAGAGTAAATAGTGGATAACCTTGGTGGAGGCCTCTCTTTGCTGGGAGATAGCCTCTCGAGGAACTGTTAACCCAAACCAGGGTGAGGTGAGCAAACCCCTTATCTGAAAAATCCCTCTCTCTCCAAAGTCCATTCAGAGAAGCACTTGGTCAAGAATGGTTCAGTCTGTGTGATCGTAATCATTCTCTATATTTACCTTAAGGCCCAAGACTATGATTTTGGAGAGGTGCCTAGCATGAATGCAATCGTGGGTGGTAAGTGCACTATCAAGATCTGTCTATCCTTGATACAAGCCCTTTGTGAAGGAGAGTCGAACAAAATAAGCACATGATGTAATCGCGAGGCTAGGAGCTTTGCCAAAATCTTGTAGAAACTATTGAGTAGGCATAGGGTCCTCAGTCCCCCACTAGCTGGGGGAACAAGGCTTTGAAAGTAGAGGTAGGGCGAGGCTAAGAGTTTTGCCAAAATCTTGTGGAAACTATTGAGTAGGAATAGGGTCCTCAGCCCCCCTTAGCTGGGGGAGCAAGGCTTTGAAAGTAGAGGTAAGCCCTCTGTTTAAAATACCATTGATTAAAGAAATCATAGAAGAGGTAATATTATGGGGTGAAGATGTCCCAGAAAATAGAGAAAAAGGGAATTCAAAATCCATCCGGTCCTAAAGCTTTATCTTGATAAAGATTTACTACCGTGTTATAAATCTCTTCTTCTACGAAGGGTCTTTCTAATCACATAACCTTTTCACTAGGCAGAGAAGGGAGTGGAGGATTGGCTACACTAGGCCATACAAGGCCTAGCCTAATTAGGAGCTGAAAGGAGGTTTTTGCAAGTATATCAAGACATGGCCTGACACACATCTTGTGGTCGAAGGTTATATTTCTATTTTTCACATGAAGGATGGTTTTAGTTCTCCAGTAGCTATTGGCAATTTGATAGAAGAATGACATGTTCCCATGGGCTCCGGACCTAACACCAATATATTTCTTCTTGTGTTAGGATGGCCTGAAATTCTGCCCTACCTCAGCTCTCCTCGCTGCCGGGTTAGGCCTCTCCACTCATGTAAGCCCAATTCGCTTATATCCCTGAGGAACTCTTTTTCCTAACCCTGATGATCCGCAGTTGGTTACAACTCCCTTGAGCATTTGCAACCTTTTCCCCAACATAAAATCCGCCGAAGAATCAGCTGCATAAGAGGAACACCAGGTGGGGATCATAGGGCGCACAGATGTGTATTATTGAGCCACATCATTTTCGGCTTGAGAGGGATGTAGGACACTGCCAGCTAGCTCAGTGTCTAACAGAATAGGCACATGTTCCGGAGGGGTCAATGTTGAACAACTGCCAGATGGCACCCATGCGGGGTGTTTTTTGGGTGCCCAGGGTTTGACGCACCTTTACAACAATATATGAATATACATGTGCTCCAAATGCACATGCATATATTTGTTTTTTATGTATATTTAAGCATTTCTATTTATTTTAGTAACGTATATATGCAAATATGAATGCTACAACACACTGAAATCTCACATTTTACATTTGCAATGCCTCACTAGTTGCTACTTTCTTTCTGTTCTTTATTGCTGCATCAATAACTGAAAAATAGGTTATGCCATTAGGTTATCCCATTATCTCAAATTGAATGAATCCAATTTCACGTCTCCAATAATCCCGATTCAAATATGACATCAATCTTCATTTCTCAAAAAGAAACAAGCACAATGCAAAAAAGCAAGAAGCTTTTATAACCAACTTACATGGGTTATAGATCAGGTTGTCTAATGCGTGTACATAATGATGAGCGAGACACAAAATAATAAGCAAATTCTTATACCTTCAGCTTCAGTGACCAGGCTACACTAGTTAGATCACATTCAATAGTGTGTGTAAACAATGGTGAGCAAGATAGACCATAGGTATCAAGCTTATCCACACCTTCATTAGCCACAGCATGCATGCAAAAGATTTGTTCCGAGTTTCTAACATAAAGGCCACACACATTAAGCAGCAAATTCTTATACCTTGAGCTTCAGTGACCAGCCTACACTAGTTAGATCACATTTAACAGTGTGTGTGAACAATGGTGAGCAAGACAGACCATAGGTAGCAAGCTAATCTACCCCTCCATTAGCCACATCACGCATGTGAAAGATTTGTTCGGAGTCTCTAACAAAAAGGCCATACAATGATACAAGCTGTCTATTTACAGCCCAAGTGGTAGATATGACAGCCTATCTTGTTAAGGGCATTCATTGCAAAAATGAATCCCCCCTTCAAGACGATATGTAACAAAAGCAAGTCAAATAACTAAATTGCTTAGATGCTAAACATAACCTGTATGGGCATGCTAGTTAAGGAGAAAAATGGTCAGGGACCGACCCACATAAACAATTTCAAGAAGAGATAATATGTAAGATATGTGATAATGCATGCTCAACCTAATCCTCTCATCAGCCAGCTACACACATACATGGACTGCAATGTATAGTTTGCAAGTTGATTTCTCTGACAGAATGAACACCCTCAAAGAATGGACTGAGTTCCAGAGGATTTCAGGATCTAATATTATCACCTATTGACGAAATTGCATAAGTTGCACTAAGTACTTGAATGAAGAGTAAAGTACACAGTAAACATGGCAAAAATGATTCCCTCCGATTGTGGCATTTATATGCGTGATCGTCATTTATATGTATGTATCGTAAGAAATACATGAATTAATGCTGCCAGATACATGTTCACAGGCTGAATACTCGTGAGAAATGGGGAAAAGAAGCAATTAAACCAGAAAAGTCACAGTCGTTCTTCATTAAAAAGACTACTAAGCCGCATAACCACCAACTTACACATGAAAGAAAGAACAAAAAGAACATATCTAACTCGCATTTACATAAGTTACTGATCAAGGACATAAACTAAAACCAGGAACTGAACTGTGGCAATTTACACAGACCATAGACTCTTATCAACAGGCAAAGAATGACATTCCCAATATTTCCTGAACAAAATGCTACAGCATATCTGCTTATAGGAAGTCAATGATACCAAAACACGAGAAACCGATGAAGAAGAATCGAGAGAAGATAAATTAGCCATCTAACCAAATTGATGGGTAAATCAGATTCAGCTCACGGAATTGACTGATCTTCAATCACCCCTGGATCCAAAAAGACTCAAAATATATATAAATAAAGAGTCACAACTGTATCGAGTGCCTAGATCAGCTCGGCCTCATTGAGCTCAGAACCCACCCTCTCCAAGACAAGCTTCAACCTCTGCGAGAAGACCTCCATCTCTGCTACCCTCTGCTCCCCCCACCTCCTCTGCAACTCTGCCGCCGCATCCGTGAACTCCATCCATCCCAGCGGGCCGAATGATGCCCTAGGGTAAACAACACCACAGTATCTACTCTGAATTGATGCCCGTGCCTCCTCCACACCCTCCTCAAACGCCTCCGCCACCGCCCTCCACACCCCGGCTGCTGGCCCCATGACTGTCGGCTGGTCCCCCGACCAGAGCCTCTTCGACATCCCGAAAAGCCGGCGCTCATGAGGGGTCATGGCAGCCACAGCGGCATTATCACGAGCAATTCGAGAGGAAGTCCTTCTGAATTTTTTTTTGAGGCGCCTAAGCTTCTCGGATAATTGGGGTTTGGTGTAGGACTGGGTTAGGGAATGGGAGACGCGGTGGTAGAAGAGGGGCATGTCGCGGGGAAAGTGCATGCCCTGGGAGGTGCAGCGGAGGAGGAGTTGGAGGAAGCGGATCTCGTCTTGGGGGCACCATAGGCGCTGGAAAGACTTGGTGGCAGAGGGCGACGGTTGCTGTTGCGGTGGGTCGAGGGGTTCAAGTTTGCGTTTTACAGGGAGCTTTTGGGAGTCGGAGGGCGTGGCCATTTGTGGTTGATAAAGAAGCGGGGTGGTGATGGGAGGTGGATAGGGCAGGCAAGGCGAGGGAGAGTGGTTTTGAGGGGGCTGGGTCGGCGCTCACCTGCCCACAGAACTGATCGCGTCGCGGTCTTTGGCTTTGTTTGCTGGGTCTTACTGGGAAGCTCCCACTTTTTCGAACGGCCGGATTAGGGATCCTCGTTGAATTTTTTTCGTGTGGGTACGATTTTTAAAAAGGAATATGACACGGAGATCCATCTACACTTTGAAATTTGTTTTAGGTTGTCCGTCACATGTATCGACACTTGGACATCATGGATACGTGCAGATACGTCATTGACAATTGACTATATAGTTATGATGATCTCATTAATTTTTTAGCATTTATCGATCGTCCTAGCATTTCCCAACTGATTGGGGTCACCTAACATGAGTCTTAGTATATCATTCTACTCTACTAAGAGTCATTCCTTCAGTGATGCCATAAATCTTTACATCTTTTTTCTTTACTTCCAACCATATCTTTTTGGACCTACTTCGAGAAAGACTCACCCAACACCTACCCCTTGCCCTTCTTTAGCATTCTACTTAAACTAACTAGCACCTCCTAACAGGTGATGTGATGGGTTTGTGTAGTACATGGCCTATACACTTAAGTCTACTTTCTTTCATCTTATCGTCAATTGGTGCTACACCTAAATTCTCCTACATGTATTCATTTCGAATTCTATCACTTCTTGTCTTGCCACTCATCTATCATCTCAGGTACTCTCATTTCTATGTGTTTTTTGTTTCATGATCACCCAACATTCCGCCCCATAAAACAAAGCTGGTTTTTGTTGGCCATAAATATCTTTCTAGATTATCGACTCAGGATATTGAAAATTTGTACTTTTTGGTATTTATTGGCCATAAATATTAACTAATTTATCATCTTTATTCCTATCATTGTTAAACTTGCATTTCATATACTTTATCTTAGTCCAGCTAATTTTAAAGCATTTAAATTCTAGAACATCCCTCTAAAGTTTTAACTTTGTGTTGCCATCATTTTAGGTCTCATTGATCAAAACTATAGTGTTTGCGAACAACATGCACCACAGTACCTCATCTTATAGGTGCCTAATTAAGTTGTTCATAACTAAGACAAAGACGTTTGGGCTCAATCTCGACCACTGATGTAGACCTATTGTCATTTAAAACTCACTTGTCTATCCACTAGTTGTTCGTGCACTGGTTAGTGTTACCTTGTATATATTTCTCATCATGTCGATGTATTCTCCAAAAGCTCATTTCTTTTCTAACACATACCCAATCAAATATTGAGGTACTCTATTGTAAGCTTTTTCTATATCAATAAAGACCATGTAGATGTCTTTTTCTTTCGCCTTAAACTTCTCAATCAATTGCCTAAGTAGGAAATTAGTCTCAGTTGTTGACCTCCCTAGCATAAACCGAATTGATTTTCTGATACATTCTTTTCATGATTTTGTGGTTGCTCAATCACTCTCTCTCAGAGCATCATAGTGTGGCTCATAAGTTTGTACAATTTTGTATGTCTCATTTGTTCTTGTAAGTAGGTAACACAATATTTTTCTCTATTCATATGGTATTTTCTTTATTAAAAACTCCTTGTTGAACAGCGTGGTTAGCTAGTCAATGCCAATCTCCCTCATGCACTTCCAAATCTCTATTAGGATACCATCTGATCTTAAATCTGAAATTGAAAAATGTGAACTAACACGGTTTATGTACTTTAAAATTTTTCCTTTTCCAAATAAGGGTTTTCAAAACCATCTCTTTCAAATTTATTTAGCACCCATCAACTAATGTCCTTACTCTCCCAAACATAAACTTAAAATCAGCTAAGACGTAATCAAAGAAGTATAAATGACAGGTTGACTCAAAAAGTAAAAAGTTATTGAATCATCTTTCTTTATATGACTTAACTATGTAGTGTGTGATATATTTCTTTATAATGAGATATCGGGTCCTTTTTTATCGTTGTTTTTGCTCACTGACGAACATTTATGATCATGAAAGAGCACACAACTAATGGAGAATTATATGGTCATCATTTTCACATGTCAAGGAAGTGTTTAGTTCTTTGGCCCTTGGATTCTCCCTTACACATAACATGAAGAAATACTCTTCCCTATGGCATCTCTCCAATGGTCACATATGATTTTTCAACTGGTTGCCACATGTGTCTCGATAAATTATGTGGGGATTGAGAGTATGTGGAACTATAGCTTTGTCTTCTTTTCTCAAATGTACAAGGCATGCCCCTTCTAAGTGTCTAACAAAGCTATGGCAGAACCCTAAACCCCTCCCCCCCTCTTTGAGATCTGGGAAGAGGTATTTTAGCCTTACAATCCATAGATCAACTATCATGATGTAATGAAAGGTGCTAGAAACTTATCTCTCAACTTCTTTAACTTAATACCATCAAATATTTAGTGTAAAAGACATAATATAATTTTCTTTTATTTTCGTCAAATGTCTATACATATTTCTTTTAAAAAGTCAAATAGCCTTCATTTAAAAAACCTTCATATTTCATTTCAATTGATTAAATGGCATGTTACATATTCCACCAAAATAAAGACGGCTAGAAGTGGGGCGTGCCCCCCATGGGCCACTAGCGGGCCCCACACACCTCCCTATATGATCTTTATAGGTGGGGCCCATGGAGAATAATGGCTTCCCCAAGAGTATTAATAATTTTTTTAAAAAAATTGATTTTTAGAAAACGTCTAGTATTTTTATTTTATCTCTAATTATTAAATACTAGAAAATACAGTTTAAGCCTATTTATATAATTATGTTTTGTAAAAATAAAATATCCAGAGACTTCAAAAAAAATATTTTAATAATCTAAAAATCATTTATGGTTAAATTAATTAATTCTAAATTAATTTTATGGGAATCATATTCAATTTCGTTAAGGAAAAAGCAAAAATATTGAGGCACTCCTTCTTTACTATAGACTATGTCCCACTCTCACTTTCTCAAAACTAATCAAGTAGTTCTCCTGACCCATAATCGATTATAGGGGTACTTGATTGAGCTACTAAAGCCAGCCAATAGGTGAAAGCCAGCCAATAGATGAAGGGAACTTAATTATAGTTTATGAATTACAGGTTCCCCCTAAAGACAACATATGTCACGCAGACCTGTGCACATACATTGCAATTAGTGCATGAGGGTTGTCTCTCACATGTTGTGTGATGGTCATGATAAGGATTTGACCTTCACTTCTTAATAGAACTATTGTATGTGCATGCCATGTGATGGTCATGATGAGGATTTGGCCCTTATCCTTTCAGGCCTACCAATTATATACAAGGGTCACACAATATTCTCTTGGCAAACTACCTCGGACATCTCTCCGACCTTGTTAGGGGATAACCTTGCTAACCCTTCTCGAGTGTGCTCTATGCATAGGTATCTTAGGATTTTAGAATTCAACTGGACTATCTTGCCAATCCTAGTTTGAGCCTCGACATTAATATTGCCAACTTCGATCCCTGTAGACCATAATCATTTGGTCCCTCTAAACCATAATCATTTGGTCCCTCTAAACCGTACTCCCACTGGAGTTATTATATTACTATAGTCATAGTTTTACTTGCTTTTGTAAGCCTTTAAATAGCCACATAACATCAACAATATATTGACCTCCATCCTCATTTATGCCAACGGTCCTTATACCTGTATGTTCCCATTGTGCTCTGAGTATGTATCGATATGTTATAAATAAGTGTTTGCCCTGTTTAATCATATAACCAATATAAGTGTCTGCCCTTTTCAATCATATATACCACTGCACTGCTTGAACTTGGGATGATTTGAACATGAAACCCATTTGCTACCCAAAGCCCTTTCTATGTTAGTGCATCAAGTAGACACTATTTTATATATGACCAAACCTTTTCAAGAAACAAACAAGCCACTCAATGGGGATTTCGTTGGGTATTTGTGGCCATTACAGACCTTATGAGCATACGTAATCAATATTTTGATATAGTGGAATAAAAATTAGTAGGAGTAGCGGAGATTGGCGAATGAAATTTACTGAGACTCAGGCTAGGCTTTACGAGCTAAGCCAGTCGAGTTACAAAACTCTTAATACCTGAGCATAGAGCACAACCGATGAGGGTTAGCATGGTTAGCCCTTGATAAGATTGGAGTTGCCTAGGGTAGAGAGCCAAGGGACTGTGCGACCCTTGTGTTTGATGGTAGGCCTATAGGGACAATAGCCAAAGTATCATATTGAACCATCATAGGGCATTTACAGATGATAGTCGTATTGGGAAAGAAAATTACCATTGAGGGTGATACATGTACATATGCGAGTTACCCTATATGCACCATAGAGTTGTGGTTGCAGCAAGTTTGTGTGATCATGCCCATGTCCTTAGGGAAGAACCTGTAATTCATAGATTCAGATTGTGTCCCCTCACTTATCGGTTGACTTTCGTATCCCAATCATGTTCCCCTGTTATGGTCTATATGTTATAGGAATTGCTGGGTGTTTGAGAAAGTGAGTGCGGGTTATAGTTCACTGTATAAGATCAAGTACTTTTAGTAAATTTATAATTTCTTAATATAGGTTAATTTGAATCGCACCAAAATTATTTAGAATTAATTATTTTGATGTTAAATGATTTTTAGATTGATAATTTGAATTTTTACAAGTCTTTAGATATTTTATTTTTACAAAATCGCTTTATAAATAAAGAGAACCTGATTTTTCAGTACTTTACATATTCATAGAGAAAAATAAAATATTTTCTTTTTTTAAAATCATTTTATAATTTTTATAATTCATATAAAATATGGGGGTCTATAGGGGGCCCACATGGGGGCCCCATGAGTGGGGCGCCCCACTTCGGGGTCTTTATTTCCTAAATTTTGATGAGGGCAACCAAGCCACTCAATCAATTGAAACCAGTGCTCGGGAATCGGCAGCCCCGTTTCGATTCTAGTATAATACAGAAACCACCCGTGTCTAGAGAGAACCAGGCGGTTTTAAACAGTGAACCGCCCGATGAAATCATAAACCGGTGGTTCTGACATCACCACTCTGACGCGGACACATGCGGCAAAATCACGTGGCACATATCACACGTAGGGTTGCCCCAGTGTTTCTACGCGCATGCTGCTTCATATCATATTACATAGTTATT